CAGGTCTTCCAAGGTCCTCAAAACTAGTCGCGCATTTCATTCGCATCATTTGGATGAAAGCATGCTTGCCTCATTACGCACCGTCGCAGAAACGATTGTGTTCCAGCAGCAAACGCTGCCTATTGTCAGCACAGTCACAGGCAAACTGGCAGAGCCTGGACAACTTAGTAATGCGGATTACTGGGTTCGACAAGCTCGCAACCCAGTCCTGTTCGCAGAAGGCATACAGACCCTCGCTGACCAGGGTGCGAATTGCTTTGTTGAGTTGGGCCCGGCATCGACACTGTGTGGTATGGGGGCCTCATGTCTCGATGGGGACAGCAGTCAGACGAGCAAAATGGCCAACCGCGAAGGCGGAGTGAACCTGGCCTGGCTGCCCTCGTTGAACCCCAATAGCGACGACGCTCTGGTAATCCAAAATAGTCTCTCGGAACTACATATCCGACAAGCAGAGATCGACTGGGCAGCCTTCTTCAAAGACATTGGCGGGCGCCGCATCCAGCTTCCTACGTACGCATTTCAGCGACATCGGTATTGGCTCGACGGGTTGCGACCAATATACAGCGGTAAGCCATCTGGCCAGTCTCCTTCGGGTGGAAACCGACCCACCGGTCAGATCCAAGTTGGATGGCACACTATTGACGCGAGTTGTCATTATGCCAATTCAACTTGGGGTCTGCTCTGTCCAGCAAATGATGCCCCGTGGATGGCACCGGTGAAGGAAGCATTGTTGCACGCCGGAAAGCAACCGATTACTGTCAATCGGCTCGCGGAAGCTAAAACGATGAGCGGCGTGCTTTGTTTTTGGGAATCAGAACGTGAAGATGACTTGACCTCCAAGGCATCTGAGCAATTGCAGACAGTGTCCAGGATTGGGTTCTCTCCCTGGATAGTCTGGGTGACGCGTGGTGCTGTTGGAGCCGGAAATATGGGCGAGGCATCGCTCTGGGGTATGATGCGAAGCGCACGCGTGAAATATCCTCAACTCTATTTGCGAATTGTGGATCTGGAGGGTGACGTGGACATCGCTACAGCCACCAAACTCTGCTCGGTCTTGATGATGAGTACCGAACCTGAATGTGTTGTGCTTGGCGAACGAGTGCTCGTTCCGCGAATGCAGATGCAAATGCAGGCGCAGCCACAGGGGGTCCAGAAGCATGGTAAGCTGTGCGTAAATGATCAAGAGACGACGAATGGAACCACAGCAGCTGCAAAGTCGAGTGGGACGGACAGCTTCGAGACCAAGATCAGAATGGTTGGCCCTGAGGAGAGAGCGACAATGCTTCAGCGACTGGTACGAGAAGTAACTGCCAAAGTACTTGGTGTGGCGGCTGCAGAGGAAGTAGATATGCACCGGGGGTTCATGGATGTTGGAGTGGATTCATTAGGAGCCATCCAGATGCGTAAAGAGCTCTCAGCACGGACTGGGTTGAAGTTGCCACCTAACTGGACGAGAGTGTATCCGGATCCTACCTCACTGTCCGATGCTTTGCATAATCAGGTAAAGGGGATAGTAACTAGCTGATGGTTGTTAGTAGAATGCTGCTTCTTTCGGTCTTTAGTTATATAGATATTAGCTAGATTAATGAGAGGTTGCTAACGCTGTCCGACCCTTGGTTTATCATGGAGATCAGCATGCTACTTAACGTTAGTATTGGTCAGGAGCACAATGGCAAGCACAGTTTGTAAAATGTGGTAAATCCAGCCAATGTTTTCCATCGATGGCGTCGAAGATGTTCTGCTGCATCTTCACAAAGGGAAAGAACCCCCTTCTGTCACGTGACAGCGTATACTCCCCAGACGCGCTTCCGCGCGGAGCTCCGATAGAGCGTTTCTTCAAATCGGCGCACCGGTCCCAGGCTAATTTCTGCCAATCATGAAGCATGGCAGAGAAAGCAACCTCGAGTCAGTACTCAATTCCTCTTTCTAGCTAGCAAGAGACAGACTAACTCCACTCCAGACAAGGAGCATCCTCTTGCGGGGGTGGTCCTCTGCTTTACCTCCATCTTACCAGAGCAGCGGGTATGCAAAACGCCCTCTGATGCTTGTACCTCTTGTTATATTTCTTCAACCAATCTAGCACAATACTGATGGCTATGTGTGTCACGTCTAGTCTGAACTCGCTATCGTCGCAAGTCAGATGGGAGCAACCCACAAATTTGACCTTACCTCCGACGTCACGCATCTGCTTATCGGCGAAGTCAATACTCCGAAATACAAGTTCGTCGCGCGCGAGCGTACCGATATAACAGTCCTGAAACCGGAATGGGTTGAAGCTGTTCGCCAATCATGGATGCAGGGAGGCGACACAGACATTCGGGCCTTAGAAGAAAAGTACAGGTTCCCAACGTTTGCTGGGCTGTCTATCTGCATAACGGGCTTTGAGGATAGTGAGTAGGGAATACCGGACATAGAGCGCACCGGAAGACTGGTCTAATGCATATGCTATAGTGTCGCTGCGAAATCGTATCCAGGACACCGTCACTGCCCACGGAGCCGAGTTCCGAAAAGACCTCACCAAGAACGTCACTCATCTCATTGCCCGGAATACGGAGGGTGAGAAATATAAATTCGCAACGCAGTGGGGTATCAGAATTGTCACGGTGAAGTGGTTCGAGGATAGTCTTGAGCGTGGCATGGTCCTGGAAGAAACTCTCTATCACCCTCTACTACCCGATGAGCAACAGGGCGCTGGTGCCTGGAATCGATCGCTGCCTACTCCGAAACCAAAAGTCACTAATAACGAAAACCCCTCAAATCCTAGACCGAGAAAGCTACGGAGGATTGCAAGTGCTAAGCTGGGAGACCAGAATGAAGGCATCTGGGGTGATATCGTCGGTACGGGTTTCGACAGCAGCGATCCAAGGCCATCTAGAGAAAGTCTGCAGAGGACCCAGTCTTTGACAAAGAGGCCCTCTATCTTGCAGGAATCGCGCTCATTTGCGAGCGAGACTACCTTTGCAGAACCGCAGGAGCCCCTTCAACCGCCCCCGCCCCCGCCCCCTCCACCAGCTGTAGAGAGTCGCGAGGGTTTTCTGGGCGATTGTTTCTTCTTCATTCATGGGTTCTCCTCTAAACAGGTTGGTGTGCATACCCTTACACTTTATTCCACCTGCTAACCTTCCAAGACCAACGTATTGCGAGATCACCTTTCCTTCAATGGTGCAGAGCTGGTGAGCTCCTTGAGCGAATTCTCTAGACCAGACATACCCAAAAGGGGCCATGGCCTTTATACCATCGTGCCCTACAAGATGCCCCGCGCACAGGTTCCATCCACGGATGACTTGGCTTTCGAATGCGAAGTGGTGACCGACATGTGGCTGGAAAGATGCCTCGATGCGAAGACGCTGGTACCGCCAGAATCACACACAGCGAATACCCCGATCCCTTCTTTCCCCCTCAAAGGTAGAATCCCAATCAGCCCCCGATGGACGTTTAGCTGACAGTTCTAGGATTCGCGGGAATGAAGGTCTGCTCTACTGGCTTTTCCCGAATTGACCTTCTCCATCTAGCAAAACTCGTCAACCTTGTTGGTAAGTTGCTCTAGGAAGCTTCAGGACCTCGTCTAACCCTCCAGGTGCCACCTACAACGAGTACTTGACACCCAGCGCCTCCATCCTTATATGCAACGACGCCGGCCCCGTGAACCCGGAGAAGCTGCGGCATACCCAAGAATGGGGCGTCCCCGCCGTCTGTGCAGACTGGCTCTGGTCCTCCATCCGCAACGAACAGAAACAACCAGTCGACCAATACCTAATCCAAAAGCAACCCACACAAAGCAGAAAGTCTCTGGAACCGCGAGCAGGTTCTCGCCCAGAGCAGAAGCAACCCCCCAATAGTAACGAGCACCCACGTCCCAGACACGAGCATGAGCACGAGAAACAAAAATCAAGCATCACACAACCACCAGACACATCCTCATCAGACCCCAACCCCACAACCAAACCACCCCCAGCCCCAACCAACACAACCACCACCACCTCCCCCCTCAAGCGCAAACCCACCGACCAACACCCCTCAACCACAACCACAACCACCCAAACTGCCCTCAACCAAGCCGTAACCAGCCTCCTCAAAAACGCCCGGCCAGCCCAACCTTCCGAACCCAACACCGGCCCAGACGACCGCCACCGACCTCAACGAGGCCGAAGACCGCTCCTGGGCCGGGCCCCCTCCTCCCTCGACCACCCTAAGCACTTCTCCTTCTCCCGCGCCAGCTCAATCGACACCCTCAATGAAGACGGCTGCGGCAGCGCCGTCGAGTCCACCACCACGACCGCCACCAATTCCCGCATCCCCTCGCTGTCTCACACCCACAGCAACCAATATGAATACCAGTACCCGGAGCGTAACGGCACCCTCGAAGAAGAGGACGAGAACGAGGCCCCGCCCATGACACAGCTGGACTATGAGGACCCGGATGCAGTAGCCATGCGGGAGAAATTCCTCCAAAAGGCTGGGAAGGTAGTCGAGAAGAAGAAGTCGAATGATGTGATTGCGGAGGGGAGACTTGTTCCTGGGTTGGAGAATGGGGCGTGGGGGACGGCGAGGAGGACAAGGCATACTAATCGCGCGTTGGATGATCTTTGATCAAACCATGATTCTTGTTGGATTGGCAAGTGAGTTCTGTTGGGTAGATAGAATTATATATGGATGTGCGAGTTTTGTCTCTAAAGGATAGAGAAGAGATCAACCGGTGACGGGTTAACTATCTACCTTTGGTTTGTTTGGACATTCATTGTGTTCTGCTCTTGAGTGCATGCATAGCATAGCATGGCGTCTCTGTCCTCAATGAAATCTACTTACTACTAGCGACTAGGGCAAGTCATGAATGGTTTGTTATGAATCCTTGGGTTTGGAGTTTTACGGCTTGTTGTCCAGCCTAGTTGTTCATTCCCTGTACTTGCATTATGGAAACAATCCTACACCAGATCTGACAATCGTGCTATGACACTACTTATTACGATGGAAAGAAACAAAGCATAATAATAAAGGCACAGCCTCAATCTAGTTAATACCTTCTTGCAAAAAAAAAAAAAAACCACGAACACTAAGAACCATAAGCAGAAACTATGGTAGGTAGTACTAGGTAAGTATGCAATTAAGCTCTAAGACGCCAATCAACGATGGTGATACGCCAGAGACTGAAACTACTTGGAGTAATCATCATCCGTAAGCTGACGATAACAATCATCAACCAGCCCTATCCTGCAAGGGATGGGGTAATGATGCAGATAAAAATAAGGAGAAAAGGAAGGGTGAAGGGGAGGTGAATGTACATGCACGAGGGGGATATTTTGAGTGGCAAAGTAGACGAGGAAAAGGGAGGTAAGAAAAAAGTGTCAGCCACGGCTAACACTTCTCTTGAACCGAGAGGGAATAGCAGTAGCAAGTTCGTACAGCATCATTATGTTATGTTTTGTACAGTTGTCAAAGATGATGGGGGATGGATAAGAGAAAGAAAATAAAAGTCAAGAGTTGGTATCTAAGCATGGGCTGCCAGGCCACCAGGTAAGGGAGCATCGAGATCGATGTTTTCGACTGAGGTGCGGTTCTCGCCGCTCTCGCGGAACAAGTTCGTAAAGTACTTGCAGGCGGCGTCGCTTTCCTGCTTGGTCTTGCTGACTTCGTGCTTGCGGCGGCCGAGATCTTCGATGTCTTGCGCCAGGCTTGTTTGCAGGTTTCCGGCGGGGAGGCGCAGAATGCGGCGGACTTCGGAGGAGATGCGCGTCGCGTTGGAGTGGACGTAGTCCATCTCCGAGAGGGTGGCGGCGAGCTTGCGTGAGAGACGAGGGGGAAGAGTCGTGGGGATCGAGGAAACCATGTAAGCAGCTGTCAAGGCGGCTGGTTTAGTCAGTTAGTGAAAAGTTCAATGGAGTGACTTGTAGGGTAGGACTCACCGATTGCCATGACACCAGGAATGAACAGGCGGCGCATATTGTTCGGTCCGAGGAATTTGACTGCGCTGAACACGCTGTCGATCCAGCTGATTCCGCCAAAGGCACGGCCTGTAAGAACCGTCAAGGCGGTCATGGCCATTCCTGTGCCGGCCACCTTCTCTTGACGCTCCCAAATGCCCGAGACGTCGAAGAAGTCCCATAGTTCCACTTCCGTGTGCACTTGTCTAGCGAGAGTGTGACGACGACCGCGACGGAACATCATGTCTGCACGGAAGTTCAAGGGCGCAAACTTGTCCTCACCAACATGGAGAAGACCGATGTTCTGAATGAACCCGACGCCCTTTACCGTCTTTTCACGAGCGTAGTCCTCGCAGCCAGTTACAGCCGAAGCGATCTGCTCCAACATGGCCACCTTCAGGTCTTCCGCATATTGGAATGCGGAGAGGAAACCCGGGTATTCGACGCCCAGATCAGCCTCCGAAACACGGGCGATGGTTTCACCCAGAGTAGACCGGGTGTGATTGTAGACATCGTCGCAAGACTCGTCGACAAGCTTCTCGACTTGGTCACCAATTTCAACCTTCTTCTTCTTACCATCTTCGTACGCCGGCTCAAGCTCCGCCAGCTCGTCCGTGACGCGCTGAAGCTCGGATTCAGCAACATCACGGTTCACCGAGGCCAACGAGTTGAGGTCAGCAAGCAGGTTCAGGAGGTAGGTCCTGGCAGGGGCAAGCTTCGAGCGAGACCGCTTTTCGAGAACGAAGCGGCGCAAGGAGCCCTCCAGGTTCTCAAAATCTTGAATCTTCTCCCTCTCCTTGCCCTTTCCTTTATCCTTCTTGCCGGAAGGCTTATCGTCATCATCATCAGAGTCATCGCCATCACCGCCACCAGAACCAGAGCTCTCCACCGAAAGCGGAGGTGCTACTGGGATAGCATTACTCGAGACGAAGTGGACCAGTTCAGCCGCTTCCTTGTACGTGCGGGGACTGAGCTTGCCAATCTGGTCCAAGATCATCCGCTCACAGCGCTGCTTATCGCGAATCTGGTCGAAGCCGTTGACAACAATGAACATGTAAGCTTTCTCATGGGCAGCATTAAGAATGAATTCCTTTGCAGAGAGAGTGAAATGGTTTGCAGCAGAAACCACAAAAACGACCACATCGATCTCCTCCTGCCGAGCAAAGACCGCCGTCGTCTTGAGCGAGTCCGAGTTCAGACCAGGCGCATCGATCAGAGCAATATCCACCACTCCGTTGTTGAGAAGAGATTCGTCAATCGTCCGCACATCCTTCACGTAGACCTTGCACTGCATGTACTTGGAGTTGTCGATGACAATGTTCTCCAGCTCCTGAAGCGCATACACATCATAGGTACTCTCATCGTTGCGATTGTAAAGCACATCCTTGTGCACGGCATGAACCTCTTCTACACCGCTGTTCTCGCGCGCATCCAGAACCTCACAGAAGATGCTCGTGCATGGCTGCTGATCCTCGGGGAGAACCTTGCGCCGCAACAGCGCATTACAGAACGTCGACTTTCCAGCGTTCAGATCACCCGTAATCAAAACCTTGCTCGACGTATCCTCAATCCGATCCCGCAGCGACAACAGATGCTTGATACTCTGGCTGATCTTGCCATCCAACAGCGACGCAATCGACGCTTTCTCCAGCGAGTGCACCAGCTCTGCCTGGGACAGCGCACCCAGCTTCAAATCCAGCTTGAGAATCGAAAACTCCTGCGCAATCTGGGGGCTCATCAGCCTCGGTTCCGACGGGACACGACGTTCCGCCGCAGCGCTAGATTCAGCCAAATCCTCGCCACCGGTCATCGTGGCAGCGCGTCTGACCATTCCGGGACGGGGGAAATCTTCCGATTCGGTGCTTGCATCTCCGAAAAACGATTGTCTCTTCTGCAAGGCGGGCTTTGGCGCAGGGGAATCAGGAGCGCTCTGGGAGGAGGGATAATGCGCGGGCCATTGGCGGTTCATGTTCTGGAGTTCTTTGAGGGTTTCGATGGTGCGCGAGATAGCACGCGCGAGCTTAGTGCGGTTCGAGTTGCTGCAGATTCGAAGAGCGCAGTGGTCAGTGTCTGCACAGCCCTTTAAAGAAAGAAAAGTGATAACCACATACTATAATAATTGATGAACATGGCTCGCAACAACATGTCTCTCATGCTCCACTGTATAACCCGCACGTCAGTCACCTTTCCACATAAACTATATCCGTATCAGTCCGGGGACAAAAACGAACCGGCAGGATTCCACTCTCCCAGATGCGTAGGGGTATGCATGGGGGTCGGGCGATCGACCATCAAATCGGCCCTCCAGTCGCCACCAGCATCACCTTCCATCACACTTCCACTGGGAATACTGCCTCCGTAGCCGGAATCTTCATGCAGGGAAGCCATCAAGGCGGTCGCGCTCTCGGAGGTTGAGCCATTGCCGACGGTCATGTATGCAGGCGGGGGTCTCGGAAACATAGTAGAAGTACTAGTGCTGGGAAGGCGTTCCTCCTCCGTCGGCGGCGGAGGATGGGCGTGAGTGGGCGAGGAGGACGAAGGTGAGGATGAACCCTCGCCGGCAGAGGAGGCGCCCTGGCCGGGGAAATACTCCTGACTCATGGCGACCGACAGAGAAAGAATGAGGGGAGTTAACAGGGATGGAAAGCCATCAATCGGTGACGCGAAGATGGAAAGAAACGAAAGATTCCCTGGAAAAGCCCAAAGGGGTTTGGTCTGATTTTCTGCATGTGACACTGTTTTATTACCGGAGTAAATTAGAGTATGTAATTAATTGGTATCGTATGGTACGGTTACCTTGATGTCACTTCAACTAAAGAAGTAGCCTGACATCCTATCTTCATTCCTCATCGGCTACTTTGTTATCGTTTCATGATCTCTGTCCTCCCTCCTCCTCCGCTTCCTCCTTCGCCCACAAGCTGCACGTCATTCCCATCCTGCCGAAACAGCAATCACCATTGAACTCTATCCCGACTCTCAAATACCCCCACCATGAACGTACGTCCGTCCCTATCTATCTGATCTATCCACCTAACCTTTCCCCTTCCCCGCATCGCCCCAAACTCAACCCAAACCAAGTAAACTAACAACCACCTCCCCACCAGATCGTCGAATGGGCCTTCGGCAAGCGCATGACGCCCGCCGAGCGTCTGCGCAAACATCAACGAGCACTCGACCGAACCCAGCGCGAACTGGATCGCGAACGAGTCAAGCTCGAGAACCAGGAGAAGAAGCTAGTCCAGGATATCAAGAAGAGCGCGAAGAATGGACAGATTGGGGCTTGTAAGATCCAAGCGAAGGATCTGGTGAGGACGAGAAGGTGAGTGCCCCCCAAATCACTTGTCTATCATCCCGAGTATGGTGGTATGCTAACGCGGGAACAGATATGTCCAGAAATTCTACCAGATGCGGACACAGTTACAGGCCATTTCGCTGCGGATTCAGGTACGATATCCCTTTTTTTTCCGTCTTACACAAAGCAATCATAGCTTACAAAGATGGATGGATGAATAGACGGTACGAAGCAACGAACAAATGATGCAGTCCATGAAAGGCGCAACAATGTTACTAGGCAGCATGAACCGACAGATGAATCTCCCCGCGTTGCAACGAATCGCAATGGAATTCGAGCGAGAGAACGATATCATGGATCAACGACAGGAAATGATGGATGAGGCGATTGACGAAGCAACGGGATTGGAAGGTGAGGAGGAAGAAGGCGAGGATATTGTCAAGGAGGTTCTTGATGAGATTGGTGTGGATCTTAGCCAGGCGGTTCGTGCACCTTCCCCCTCCCTCCCGTCGCAGGGAGATTCGCCGAGGTATATGATGCTAACATACTATTTAGCTGGGAGAAACACCCACCGATATACAAAAGACGGCCGTGGGCGAGACAAGAGTTGCGCAAGCGGTTGGTGCTGGGGGTGGAGGTGGCGGTGGTGTGAATACGAGTGACGATGACTTGCAGGCGAGATTGGATAGTCTGCGGAGGTGATGTGATTCATACTACTTGTGATATGATAGTATGAGTTACATTTATTTTAATACTTATAGCTATAAGCACTCTTGCAGTTTGTTATACGGTTTTCGTGTTTCGAACGGCGTTAGGGTAACTGGGTTTGCATTGATTCCATCCATCCATGAGCAATTTGACTTGAGTCCAATGATACAGATATTATTATTGCTTGTTGTACGTATGCTGAAGAAGTGAAAGAGTAAGCGCATACTAGTGATATATATTTGCCATCTCGCCCGCGAGACTGACGATCTACCCAATCGAACTCAAACTATAATCCAACATCTAGTGAGTACTTATACTACTGTAATGATCAACCTCCCCATCCCTTAATCCCCCCTCCATCCCCAAACAACCACCCACATCAACCTACCCATCCATCTATCTCCTGCGTAAAAGCAAATCACCTAGTACTAGCAGCCTGCCTCCTTACCTCCAGCGTGTCCATCTCTACCCAATAACTCGACTGCCCAAACCACGGCATCGACAACAACTCCTGCAACTTCGGTCTCTTCTCCGGGTCCTTCGTAAACATAGCCCTCAGCATATCCACACAATCCTGCGAGAGGTCCTCACTAACAGGCAACTCCTCTCTAATAACGCGCTGCCTTCGCTCCCTTATCTTCCTCATTCTCCGGGCCTGCTGTGCAGCACTCCTACCCCTAGGCCACTCGGAAAGACGCCCGATATCCGGATCCGGGTTTGGCTCTTCCCAAGGTGCGAAGCCGTGTAGGAGTTCGTAGATGATGCAGCCGAGTTGCCAGAGCGTGAGGCCGCGGACATCGTGGCGAAGGGGGATTTGGACGGTACCTTTGCTGAAGTCGGTGTTGTCATAATTGGGCTTTAGGAGTTCGGTGGCGAGTTCGGGTGTCATGAATTTCTCGTAGTTGGGGATGTAGGGCGTGTGGCGTTTTTGGAAGTCTGCGTCGCGCAGGCCGAAGTGAATGAGGCCGAGGTCAATTAGGGTTGTCTGTTTTGGTTGGAGGGGTTAGTAGGTGGGTTCTTTGAAAGGGGGTAGGATGGTTGGTTGTAGGGTTCTGTCTGTAGAGAGGGGCATACATTTAAAGCATCGTCAAGTAGGTAGTTCAAGTGTGAGATGTCCGTGTGGCAGAGTCGCATGTCATATAGGTATGATGTTGCTTCAAGCAGTTGGGTTGCTATCTGGCAGACGGCCACCTCATCTAGTGCGGTCTGCTTTTCTCTAGAATTAAGGTAAATGTCTCCGTCGAATGGCCGCAACCTATTCTCAATCCAAGCCTTCGTTTCGGAATATGGGTCGTAATTCTTTTTACGGATTTCATCGGGGACTGTAGCTTCCATCACCGTTGCCTTGTACTTGCCGTGGGAGTAGACGGAGTCCAGCATCGAGAACCGCCTACAGCCAGCCGTGAGCAGCAGAAGGTATGCCTCCATTGGAATATAGCGGAACTGATGCGGCTGTTGATAGTATAGAGGCGCCACACTCGGATCACCTATCTTTTTTCTTATATCTGTATTGATGGTCGATGAAGTCTCGACCTTGATTGCGTATAGCTTTTGTTGTTCCGGAGGTCTGGTATCACTTCCTAGAGAAGTTGGTCAGCAAAGGAAGCCAGCACTAGTCACATTGAGGTCTGGGGGGTTACGCTTATGTGCCAGGAAGACGACGCCAAAGGCTGTGAATCTGCGTTAGCGAACTATCCAAGAGCACAAGAGGGTCAGAATCCCATACTTCCACTCCCCAGAATGCCCCGGAGAACAAAATCGTTATCCAGGTTGGGACAGATATTAGCGCGGTACGTATCATACACGTCCTCATCGCCTTGACGATGGATAGTAGATTGTTTATCGTGTATGCTTTGCTGGTATCTATAACTGTCTGTTCGAGGTTCCCCGTCCACCTCGTGCGTGCATTTGGATATCTCTGTCTCTTCTCTGGCTTGCATGCTGGCGTAGTAGCGCCTTGAGAGTACCTCATGGAGTTGGGGATGTTCGGCTGCTAGCAGGCTCTCTGGTTGTAGAAGATCGTGAATCAGTGCTGCCAGACTCGACTCCCACGTGTAGACGTGGGCCCATAATTCCCGATGCTCTGCAGCACTCAAGAGATGAGCATTAGTTAAAACCCCGACGAGGCGGGCGAATTCGCGGCTCCAGAACATCTGATTTCTATTGTCGTCCGCCATTGCGAGAATGTTAAGAGCTGTCGAAATAGGGTTTCAGGGTTAGCTATAGCCTCCTCCCGGTAGTTCGAATAGAGGGCAGGCTTTTATAGTAGTGGAGGTAAATTGGAGGGCTCCAAGAGCGCCGTGACTACTACCGACAAAGGGATGCATCGCGGAACCCTGGTTTCCTTACTTTTCATATAAAGAGTCTTTGTTTTTACTGCGCCGTTGTTGATGATTGGAACATCGAGAAGAAAGAGCCCGGTATGCGAGTGATTGTTCGGATTGTTCTATTAGTCCAAACGTGTATATAAAGAACAAAGGTTGTAGACCTTAACAGAAACTCTACTACGAGATCAAATGGTACAAAAGGCGAGTTTTCCAGTATAGTCTTGAGAGACCCTAACTGGATCATGACTCGCGCAACAGCCCAACGGTCAATTTTGATAGATCACATGAAGGCAACATCTTGAGGATGTATGTGCTGCTTAGAGTTTAACTTTCACTCACCTAGGGTTTCTTTCAGCGTTAGGTTTTGTGCTCGTGGAGGGGCTGTTAGTAAAATGAGATACCAATATTTTCCAGACTGGCAATGTCATGTTCCGATATAGATTCTATAAGTCATGGAAGGAGGGTGTACTAAGTCTGAACATCCAATAAGGGCCTCCCAACCTGCAGGATGGGCCCAGCTGAGGCCTGGAGCACCTGCAGGCATTTGCCATGAGTCACGGCTGATCCGGCCTATCATCAACGCGGGCGGCCGTTCTCAACACGACTAGCAAGGAAGATGACGATATCCTTCGCCTGGACTCTTAAAGGAGGGGGAGAAAAGTACCGTTTCATGGTGGTGATGGTTGTGGTGGTGGTGATCCTGCTGCTGCTGGTGGCGGCCATCCAAGACGACAGAGCGGAATTGATCATTTCCACCATCGCATGCAGCACGATCAGCATAACAAGAAAAGAACCCATGACGTGCAGCATTTGCTGGATACTTCTATACGTTTCTGTATGTAGGGAAGTGGATTGATCCACTCTACTTCAATGACAGTGACGGGCAAGCAGAACATGTCTCTTTGAACCAGACGGACAGACGGCGGCAAAGGGGGGTTTGGCTGCAGAACCGGCGCATCCCTGCGGCCAATCAGGCTTGTGGGAACTAGAAGTTCATTGTTGGGCAACAGCGCTGAATGGCGGTTAGGCTGCAGCGATGTTCGTCCTGGACTGTGAAAGCCTGGGCCTGAACACAGCAGCGAACCCGCTAGCCGGTCGGCCACATGCAGGTAGAGTGCACCATGACGGCGGCCTTGCTTTTCCTTTTTTCTTCATCTTCCATCTGATTGTCTTGCTCAACCCTCATCGCCCATCCAACATCAGATCAGACTTTTTACTGCCGCCTGGTTACTCCGGGCTGTGGTTGCTCGTCGCCCTGGGGGGATGTTGGGTTTTCTTACTTGCTTCTGCATCGCCCCATTCCATTGCGGCTGAGGAAGGCTGCCTGCGATACGAAGCCCGGGCAAACACGCGGCCAGAGAAGCAGTCGCGAAGCCCGCGACTCAGTAACGACTATCATTCATTCAAAAGAGGGGGGTGGATATAAAAAGACGCAGGTCAAAGGGGCGAATGACAATGCGTCAAAATGGCCAGGGCAGTTCTCCTTGCCCATGCCCGGGCGATGTCGCGCCCTGCTAATTCCGTCTTGCGCAGCGACGGAGGGACCTGCGCGCTTTTCCCCTGGTCCTTTCATTTGAACGGCGCATCGTGATTGAACGATTGCCATGGTCACAAGCAAAGACTCCAGTAGCTCCGCGACCATGATATCCCGAATCTTTTGGGGTTGGATGGTTGCTTCTGCTGGGCATGCAGCTTTCCAAACCTAATGGCAAGGCAGAAAGCACCAGGGATCTTCATCTCCTGAAACAATCTTACACCATGATTATTGCCGGTAGTCCGTCGTCATTAAAAGAGGCCAGTTGACCCCTCCATGACCTCCCTGGCGCGTTCGGAGATATAAGGAGGTTATATTTGCTCGTTCTTTGCTCTTGACCCCGCTTCTCCCATTTCCGTTTTTCCCGAATCCCATCCCATTCCCTAGGGTTTGCTGCGTCTGCTCGGCTCCTTATCTTCTTCCTTCTTGCTCACCTTGACAGCTCCCTCCTTTCTGCCTGAGGATTGACATACTTACGGGTCCCCGTGGCCGCATCCTCTCGGTCCCCAACAGGAGCGGAGTCGTACAGTATGGCGGTCATCAACCAGAACAACAACAAACAGGTGCCTCCTGCGCCTCCGACTCATCATCCACCTATGCGCCCGAATGAGGGTGTCCGTGTGGCGCAAGCGGGCTCAGCACGTCCCATGAACCCGGAGTACTTGGTTCCTCAGATGAATCGGCTCAATGTTCAAGCGGAGAAACCCCCGGCTGTCAACAATCCAAAGCCCAAGGAGACCACCACGGTCGTTGAGGAGATTGATGCTCGTGCCCCCTTCTACTACCTGGGGTACACCTTCTTCAAGGCCGATGCCGTGCCCGGGCACAAGTCCACCTGGAACCATGTGGAGCGGACCAAGATGAACCTCAGCCAGTCTGATCTGATGAAGCTGGTACACAAGCGAACCAAGAAGACCCCCATCGCGGAGCAATACCAGTCCCTGTCCAAGGTCAAACGTGCGCATGTGGACCAGCTGATCAGCGAACTTAGGAAGAGTGACCCCCACTTTGAATGGACCTGCGTCTATGTCAAGGAGGACGAGAAGCCATTCAAGGGTAAGAACTCCCGGCGGGGTGACTATGAGACGCTCTCCGTGAACGTCGTCATCATGAGAAAAGCTACAGATCTGGTGTTTCCCAAGATACCTGTCGACGACCATGTGGATGTGGAGGCCCTTCCTAAACCACAGGACCGTGTGCCAACTCACGTGCACAATAATCCATCCGAATCGGGACCAAAGGGGATGTCTAGGAGCATGCAGCCTAGTGAGCCACTGGTAGGGCCTACTATCCATCAGGGGACAATGCCACCGGCCATGAATCATAACCAGCAGCCTCTGCCTACAAGGTTTTATCAGCCTCCTTCTCATCAGTCTCCACCCCATCAGCCACCTCCCCAGCAGCCGCCTCCTCAACTTCCTCAGGGATATGCGGGGCCACGACCACATATGGCCCAGGGGCCCTGGCCGTGGGTGCACGGGATGCCAGCTGGTATGCACCCACACCGCGCTCAGCCAGGCATGCCTGTCTCTACGATGCCTGCGTCTGCTATGCCCAGTTCTGCAGTGCCTGCTCCTGTCATGCCTGGTGCTGCCATGTCTGGCCAAGCCAATGTTCCGCACATGATGGCTCAGCCGAATGGCCTGCGAGGCGTCCACATGGCAGCTGGAATGTTCCACCAAAGGCAGGGATTCGACCCCCGCGCCCATTTTTCCGGCCAGCAAGAGGCCCATCCTTCTGACAAAGGACCCGCCCCTGCCTCTGCCCCTGCTCCTACCACTACCCCCGCTCCGCCGGAGACTAAGCCCGAGAACGTCAGGCCCTCGACGCCGGCGGCAGATCCCGAGCTAGAACTGGGACTAGAGTCGAGTAGTGTGGGGGACGATGAATCCGTGTTCGACTTTGACGACGACAGCTCCATCACCGATAGCTCTGATGAAGAGCCCGAACTGGAGGATAAACCCCAGCCGTGGCGCGGCAGTCTCTATCGTCGACACTCCACCCCCCGAGCGAAGCATGCATACCGCACCCATTATCGGAAGCAGCCCCAGAAAAACGGGTCGGACAACAAGACGAGCCGGTCAGGGTATCCCAATGGCTGCATTGACGTGGTGCCTGCAGACAGTAAACATGTCGACCCACGCAGCGAGGGTGCCGTTAGTGGTGGTGGTGGGAGTGGCAGTGGTCCCAGTCAAGAAGTGAGCCGGCCAGCGCGGGACCGGCCCAAGATCATCCATGCGCCAGTGAGTGCAGACGAGTTGGATTTGGAGCAACTTTTGGCCGAGAGGGCAGAGCGGTTCCGAGGAGGGCGGGCCCGGAACGATATTCGGGCGCGAATACTAGATGACCGCGAGGCCCGATTGGAGCATCGCGAACGGATGGTGGAATACCGGGCCCGCGTGCTGGAGGAACGGGAACGCTTGGATGATGCATGTTACCTCGGACGACGCATGTCCCTGCGCGAACCGGGCAACTTCTATGGCCCTCGACGATATTACCTCCCGGAGGGGCTTCAATGATGGTGCAGGGTCCTTGGGGGGGGATTAGTTACCTTGGACTAGTCGAATTGGGAAGAAAAGAGGGGGGAGCAATGGAAGGAGAATCGCTTCATTGTTTTTCCCTGAGAAAGTCAGTTTACCAGTGGATTTTCGGGTATTTGCATTTTGGGATCGGGTGAAGGAGGGATCCAAGTGGGTATCTCATAACGTCATTGGGGGGGGGG